GTTACTAAAATGTATTGATAATAGCCATGTATTAACACGACATTCCCCTTCATAATACAATTGTTTGACAATAATTTGATTTAAATTTTTTTTTTTACCAAATCAAATTTATAACCATTTCTGACGATTAATGTTGTAATTGAGTATTATAATGCATATGCACAAGACCAATAGTGCGATCCTACAATCACAATTCAATCCTTTGTGTTAAGTAGCATGATACTGTCCAGAATACTTCCCGGTTCTCTCGACACACTTTTTGATGAGAGCTTACCTTCTTGGAAAATAAAATTCTTTGTGAAGAGGAGACATGGAATGTCATCGAAGGGGTAAAAAAAACTATAAAGATAATTACCTTTTTGTATTTAGGTATAAAATCTCATAGCCAATATAATTTCCAATTACCATGTCCATAAACAGGTGACAGTTACCTTATGTTCACAGATGTTGAAGAGTAATATGAACAAAGATATATATCAATATTCATAATCATATGGTTAGAAAACCTTCAATACATTCACACTTTGCCCCATCACTCATCAACACTGTCAGTATTAGATACATTGCTAAGTACTAGGGGGGGGGGGGAGGTAATATTTATTGTATATTGTATATATATATACACAGTATCGTTCAACTATATATATATCAAAAAAATTAATCTTAACATTATCAAACTGTTGGTCTTGAGGCACAACTTTCCAAAACTGTTTCACACTATTTTCATTTCCCTGTCACTTTCAGGCAAATTTTCTTATGGTTTTGTTCCAAGCTAAATTGGGGATATTCTCTCAGCTATTTTTGGACAGGGTTTTATCATTTAGCTATGATGAAAAATAAAAGAAAGAAACAAAAAGATTCTGAATATCACAGCTGTCTCCTTTCCACAAAGAACTCCATTAACTCAAAGAGGAAATAAATGGGGCAAAATGTAAAAAAAGAGAGAAAGAAAGAAAGAAAGAAAAAGAAAACATCAGTACAGATGTATTATTCAAAGATAGATCACAATTTTTAACAAAAATAATTCAATTTCATCCTTAATATATATTTGATATTACATTCTCATCAAAACAGCATCTTCATTCTTATCTTTTAAGTGTTTGTGCATTTTTTAAAAATGCAACATGAAACCTAGAAATAATATAGTAAACAGGTGAACAGGATGTTAATGAGTGTCCATGCCCACAAAATGTACACAGAAGGGCATCACTTATGGATGATATTCTATACTACAAAATAATTAGTCTCTTCCAGCTTACATACTGTGCATAGGATCTCAAGAAGTAAGATAAGCCAAATATGGACCCTTACAGCCCAATGCTTATTTGATCTTTCAAAATTCCCATTCCTATGCATGTAGGTAAGAGTTGGAATATCACTATGTTTTGCCATTGAAGAAAGCTTTAAAAGAAAAAGAAAAATATTGGAGAAAAAAAGAAAGAAAAGAAACTCATTATTACAATAAAATAACATTTAAACACATTTTGCTTTATGTATTGCAAAACTCAACACATGTGCAGAACTGACTAGAACTGTTCTTATAATAAAGGAAAGGAAATCTGTGATGAAGAGAGCCAGAACCTCCTAACGCAGACCCGACTTGTTTGTATGAAAAATATATCCTTCGTCTTACCCTCCAGGGGTTAAGGTCATATCCATGGGAAGGAACTCTCACTACTAATGTATGAGAAAAAGGAAAAAACGAAGAAAGAAGAAAAAGCCCAAATTCTGCCGCAATGAAAATTAAGATAAATACGCCACATGTAGATAATAATCACAGTTTAGATAAGATACCCCAGCATCCAACAAAGGAAAGTTGAAAATTTCTTTTGATGTTTTGGATTTAGACCAACTTTGGATGCCCTTCAGCCGATGCATATACAAAGGTCACTAGTTAAAGAGCTTCTCCTCAGTACCAAAAAGCAGGGACACAGACTGGTCTCACATCAGTTTTTTTTTTATGGTATACTTACAGGTGTTACAACATCACCAATCAAAAAATGTAAGAGTGACAACCAATCTAAATAAAATTGGTATGCAAACAGTTCATGTCCTTTGAAATCCAAAAAAATGAATAAGGAAACACAAGAGAGATAAATAAAATATAGGGTTTGCTTTACATCACACAAAATACGGAATGCTTTGTCAAAAACACACTTATCCTCTGAATAGCAAGCTGACAACACACCAGCAGCAACGATATTCTTAGCAAAATCTCCTACAGATACTAAAATTCAACTGATATTGGCACATAAATGTTCAGTACTCTTGGAGATGTGCCGAAGTGTAATGTCCTATGTTGAATAGATTTCATTAACACAAAACCTTCGGATAAATCTATAAATGAAATCTTTATCTATAACTCAAAGAATGGATTACAGTTTGATTATATTCTTAGATGCAGAAAAAAAGAAGATATAATAATTATAAATAAATAAACTTATTAAATCAAGCAAACACTCTTTTTACATGTCTCCATTATATGACAAATATTCAGTAATATCAAATGAGGTAGCAAAAACTAACTTCGGTTTGCCTATGACAATTGATTTAACTAAAATAAATATGTCAAACTATATGTGGCCTTGAGGTTATACACACACATCTGTTTATACACAGATATTTGCACACGTGTACAACAAACTATTTCAATGCAAAACACAGATATAGATCAGTGTGTGACTTCATCAGTCATCCACTACTAGCTCATCACACTTGCTCTAGTATTGTATTTGCTATTAATTTCTAGATATTTTGTTTTTCAATGAACATTTTCTTTATATCATTACACAAAAACATGTCCACTTTGAGTCACAGAAACAAATAGTCCTTCCTCAAAATATCATTGTCTACTAGGTGGTGCGTATCAATTCACTGGTGGACAAACAAATTCCATACCACACAGAGTACAAGACAGGTTATCTGTCTGTGGGTAATCTTCTACAAGTCTACTACTTGAACTGTATGCTTCCCAAATCATCTACATGATGGTTGCTTTGTGCTTATTTCCATTATCAACTAATAATTTTTCTTTAATTTCTTGCAGTCGTCATATTTAGCATGTAAGTAACCATTTTCTGATGAAGCATCAATCCATCTTGATGTCCTCTCAGCTTCTAGGTTTCATCCAATGTTGTCACCTTCATGATCAATGTCATGAGGTCTGGCAGTTAAACTAATGGCTAAGGTATCCTCCTACGATGAATGATAATATATGGAATACAGAGTAAATGAGTTCTGAAAGGGGATAAGTGAACCCTCCCCTTAAGACAGACACAAGAACAACCTTTGATTACCACAAAGGATATTAAGTTTATATAGATATGACATCAATATTTCTTTGCAGTTGGTCAACATCATATACTTAAGTGGAGATATACTTTGAACATTCACACTTTGTTCATTCATACAAGCCCAGCTTCTCTCTCCCCCACCACAAGATTTACTCTCATGAACTCCCAGCCACTTTTTCATAAATTAGGAATACCAGACAAATGTTAGGCATCACGTGCACCAGGTATGGTGACATGCCCCTGTAGAATCCCGTAATTCCTTCGTACCTCCATGTTTCTTTGATACAGTGGCGCAAGTTGTCATAATGGGCATGCTGGTCTTGCATACGGGCACGCAAAACTTGGTATGGGTAAGTTGTGACAGCTGCAAAGAGTTTGGAGAGTGATGCAAAGCCAAGGTATTCCAGGGTTGTCTGGAAAAAAAAGGAAAATATATAATGAATATAAACAATAAACAATGTCATTGTATAAATGTATAAACTAGATATAATCCTAAAAGTTTCTTTGCTAAAATGATGATAATGCTGATAAATAGTAATAATCAACAATAAAGGTAAATTGAAAATCTCTAAAAATTAGCTTGCATGTGAATAAATTTCACTGAACTATCAACACTACTAATCAAACTTACCAGTTTTGCATCAATTGGGAGATTGCGATACCGGTTGTACTTCGCCTTCATCTCTTCATAAGCCATAAACTGTAGTGCACCGTGTGATACTCCGAAAACGCCAGGAACAAAACCCTGTAGAGTACAAAAAATGCTTAGGACAAATGCATTGGAATTAAACACCCGGTAATGAAGACGGATACTTTTATATTTGATCCGCTCTATTTGGATCTATGCTGATGTTGCTACTAATTCATATTCTGATCTGATGCCCTCTTTCAATACAAAGGAGGATATATATATGAATAGGAAACATACACACAGTTATCATAACACAGACATTATTATCCACATGCAACCTTATATAAAGCTCACCTTGTATAGTCCTCTGACTCCTTCGTACTTGTAGGTCTTGACAAATGCATCGACCATTCCATTATACCGATGAGACTCCGCTAGAACCTTGCCTGTTCCATCAGTGTACTGCAAACATAATCTGGAAGACATTTTCTCTTGTTAGTAATTTCCAAATATCATCTGGAACAATGTATAGGAGAACACTTGAAAGAGAAAACTCATAGCATTGAAAGTTTAGCCTATTTCAGCCAAATGAGAAATGATATATCTAAAATAGAAAATGCATACACATATCTATATTTTCTTCATACAAAGACTAATATAACTTCTCCAAATACACCAGTAAATAAACTAACATATCTCTACCTACTCAGAGCATCCACTCACCTGGTCTTAACAACCCAAATATGTATGTATGTATGTATGTATGTATGTATGTATGTATGTATGTATGTATGTATGTATGTATGTATGTATGTATGTATGTATGTATGTATGTATGTATGTATGTATGTATGTATGTATGTATGTATGTATGTATGTATGTATGTATGTATGTATGTATGTATGTATGTATGTATGTATGTATGTATGTATGTATGTATGTATGTATGTATGTATGTATGTATGTATGTATGTATGTATGTATGTATGTATGTATGTATGTATGTATGTATGTATGTATGTATGTATGTATGTATGTATGTATGTATGTATGTATGTATGTATGTATGTATGTATGTATGTATGTATGTATGTATGTATGTATGTATGTATGTATGTATGTATGTATGTATGTATGTATGTATGTATGTATGTATGTATGTATGTATGTATGTATGTATGTATGTATGTATGTATGTATGTATGTATGTATGTATGTATGTATGTATGTATGTATGTATGTATGTATGTATGTATGTATGTATGTATGTATGTATGTATGTATGTATGTATGTATGTATGTATGTATGTATGTATGTATGTATGTATGTATGTATGTATGTATGTATGTATGTATGTATGTATGTATGTATGTATGTATGTATGTATGTATGTATGTATGTATGTATGTATGTATGTATGTATGTATGTATGTATGTATGTATGTATGTATGTATGTATGTATGTATGTATGTATGTATGTATGTATGTATGTATGTATGTATGTATGTATGTATGTATGTATGTATGTATGTATGTATGTATGTATGTATGTATGTATGTATGTATGTATGTATGTATGTATGTATGTATGTATGTATGTATGTATGTATGTATGTATGTATGTATGTATGTATGTATGTATGTATGTATGTATGTATGTATGTATGTATGTATGTATGTATGTATGTATGTATGTATGTATGTATGTATGTATGTATGTATGTATGTATGTATGTATGTATGTATGTATGTATGTATGTATGTATGTATGTATGTATGTATGTATGTATGTATGTATGTATGTATGTATGTATGTATGTATGTATGTATGTATGTATGTATGTATGTATGTATGTATGTATGTATGTATGTATGTATGTATGTATGTATGTATGTATGTATGTATGTATGTATGTATGTATGTATGTATGTATGTATGTATGTATGTATGTATGTATGTATGTATGTATGTATGTATGTATGTATGTATGTATGTATGTATGTATGTATGTATGTATGTATGTATGTATGTATGTATGTATGTATGTATGTATGTATGTATGTATGTATGTATGTATGTATGTATGTATGTATGTATGTATGTATGTATGTATGTATGTATGTATGTATGTATGTATGTATGTATGTATGTATGTATGTATGTATGTATGTATGTATGTATGTATGTATGTATGTATGTATGTATGTATGTATGTATGTATGTATGTATGTATGTATGTATGTATGTATGTATGTATGTATGTATGTATGTATGTATGTATGTATGTATGTATGTATGTATGTATGTATGTATGTATGTATGTATGTATGTATGTATGTATGTATGTATGTATGTATGTATGTATGTATGTATGTATGTATGTATGTATGTATGTATGTATGTATGTATGTATGTATGTATGTATGTATGTATGTATGTATGTATGTATGTATGTATGTATGTATGTATGTATGTATGTATGTATGTATGTATGTATGTATGTATGTATGTATGTATGTATGTATGTATGTATGTATGTATGTATGTATGTATGTATGTATGTATGTATGTATGTATGTATGTATGTATGTATGTATGTATGTATGTATGTATGTATGTATGTATGTATGTATGTATGTATGTATGTATGTATGTATGTATGTATGTATGTATGTATGTATGTATGTATGTATGTATGTATGTATGTATGTATGTATGTATGTATGTATGTATGTATGTATGTATGTATGTATGTATGTATGTATGTATGTATGTATGTATGTATGTATGTATGTATGTATGTATGTATGTATGTATGTATGTATGTATGTATGTATGTATGTATGTATGTATGTATGTATGTATGTATGTATGTATGTATGTATGTATGTATGTATGTATGTATGTATGTATGTATGTATGTATGTATGTATGTATGTATGTATGTATGTATGTATGTATGTATGTATGTATGTATGTATGTATGTATGTATGTATGTATGTATGTATGTATGTATGTATGTATGTATGTATGTATGTATGTATGTATGTATGTATGTATGTATGTATGTATGTATGTATGTATGTATGTATGTATGTATGTATATATAGATAGATAGATAAATAGATAAAAAAATAGAGACCGTGACATTTCTACAAAAGTAAAATTTGCCACTTTATAAATTGTTGGAAAATTTATGGGTAGTTCAAACAAATAAGTTGCATGCTGCACAGATAATTCTAAACACCCCATAACCATGAAAAATAATCACCTATTATACAAATACAAGATAAGATAAAGGAAGCAGGAGTCCATCTGTTATCATTATCAGCTGGAGAGATAGCTACCAAAAAGTTACGAACTCGGCAACTGATTACCCATATACAAGACAAAAACCACAACCCAAACTCCCGCAAAGAGAAGGGAGAAGGAGGGGTAGATAGAGAATGAGAGGGAGAGGGAGGAGAGGGAGGAGAGGGAGGAGAGGGAGAGGAAATGTATGGGTATGTGCTCTGTGGTGTGTGGGTTGTGCGCGAATGGTGTGAGAAGAGAGAGGGGGGGGGGTGAAATCCTTAGTATCTTTATTACAGAGGAGAAAAGAGGAGAGGAAAAGAGAATCGCGTCTGGGAACCTCTTCATCCATACATTCAACTCATCAGGAAGAGGTGGGAGGAGACCGAACGAGAGAGGAGGGAAAAAGAAAAGAAAATCACACAAGAGTACCATCTCAAATTCCAAAATCCTAAAAAAAACTTTACACGGGCACACACTGTATTTTATGAAACCCAGTGCACCGAATATGTAATGAAAAAGCCAGATAACATGGATATTACAAAACTCTGGAGATAGCATTGCTACTACGAGGTTGTATACTGATAAATATAATGTGTATTTAAAACACGCATATGTATGTATGTATGTATGTATATATAGATAGATAGATAAATAGATAAAAAAATCAACATACCGATAGAAATGTAAGTCGAGATAGCTGACAAAATACTACGAACTCGACCATTAATTCCCCATTGATAAGAAAAATCACTACCCAAACTCCCTCATAATAACAACCCCAATTCTTTAAAAAACATATATAACGGATGTTCACAAAAACCCCGGGCACCCATCTCGGCTCACGTGAGACCTACGCCTGGGGAGTAGGGGGGGGAGTGATACTGGGGAGTAGGGGGGGAGTGATAATAATGTTGCGACTCCTGGCAACTGCTACGGCACCGTGGGGTAAGAAAAGGCAGCAAACCTCTTTATAGCGAACACGGGCTTGTAGTGGCATTCACGTGTGGCACTCTCGACGGTCGTACAATCAGCACACTAGGAGCGAGAGGGATGATGATGGGGCGATGAAGGGAAGGAGGGAGACATGGAGAATGAGAGGGAGATGGAGGGAAAGTAGAGAGGGAGGGAGAGGGAAGAAGAAAGGAGGGAGAGGGAGAGAATGTGTGTGTGTTTGTGTGTGTGTGAATCTCTTTAAGTATGCTTCCTATTACTGAGGAGAGAGGAGAGAGGAGAGAAAAGAGGAGAGAGGAGAGAAAAGAGGAGAAAGAGGACAGAAAAGAGGAGAAAGAGGACAGAAAAGGAGAGGAAAATGGAGACGCGTCTGGGAATCTCTTCAACCATATATTCAACTTCTCTGGAAGAGGAGGAAGGAGAAGGACAGAGAGCGAAGAGGAAAAACAGAGCGAGAGAGAAAAAAAAGAGAGAGAGAAAAAAAAACGAGCGAGGAGGAAAAACAGAGATAGAAAAAGAAAGAAAGAAAGAAAAAAAACATTTCTTTTCGGGTATTTTCATACCCTAAACGAAACCAACCACGGGCACACACCGTATGTTATGAAACCTAGGGCACCGAAAGGGTATTATTATAAACCGTTCACCGGCGGACATTTTTCTCGAGACTGACAATGAAGAGCCCAGAAAACATTATTATTACGCTCTGGAGATACTATTGCTACTACGAGGTTGTATACAGATTAGCATAATGTATATGCAATGCATGCATGGTATGTATTTATAAATAATAATTAACATATCGATAGAAATATTAGGTAGACAAGTACAGATAAATATAGATATTGGCCATATTATCATCATACATACTAAATTATATATATATATATATATATATATATATATATATATATATACACATATACATATATATAATCATATACATAAAACAAAAGGCCCCACACAAAACGAAGAACCAATAGCTTCGAAGCAACAAACGAAAACCGAGCTAATTGAACGCAGTCCGAGCAAACGAACGAACGAACGAACCGGCAAGACTTGCCAGAAAAACAGGCATGGACATCTAAGCTCTCTCTCTCTAGCAAGACAACCGCACTGAATATGGCCAGGGATCACTTCGGCGAATCTTGGGGGTACGTTGCGAAATGTCCTGTGTCCCTGCTGTTGCTACTGCTCGCGATTCGAAGGCAAGCAGGAGCGAGGGGGAGGGAGTGAGGGGGAGGGAGCGAGGGGAGGGGGCGAGGGGGAGGAAGCGGGGGAGGGGGCGAGGGGGAGGAAGCGAGGGGGAGGGAGTGAGGGGAAGGAGTGAGGGAGTGAGGGGGAGGGGATTAAGGGGAAGGAATGAGGGAGTGAGGGGGAGGGAGGCGAGGGGAGGGGGAGGGGAGGGGAGGGGAAGCGAGGGGGAGGGAGTGAGGGGGAAGGAATGAGGGAGTGAGGGGGGAGGGAGTGAGGGAGTGAGGGAGTGAGGGGGAGGGG